GTAGAGAGCTCCAATAGCACAGACACGATGAGGTAGAGAGAGAGAGAGAGCAAGGAATGGGATTAGAGTAAAAATTTTACTGAACCTAGTAAAAAAAAATTTAAAACATTTTTACCCCTGAGATTTTTCATCCTTATCAAAGTACTTCATGCCCGTAGATCAAATCAAGCAAACCATCAATGTTAAATACCCCCAAAATACCGCTGTGGCCTGCAATTTTCTAGAAGGACAGATTGCTGGCGTCAAAATTTCCCATCGGGGTCCACAGCTGCGAGGAATTGGGAAATTTCATGAAAATTGCAGAACTCTGCGTTCCTAACATTAAATAACCAATTTCACCCTCGGTTGTTGCACCAGCACAAAAAGGAGCATTGTATTATTTATTGCATCGTAACATATTAAATATGAAAATCAGAACATTAAAAATGATTGGACTGCTACCACGGTGCAGGTGGGCAAGATCGCTATTGCTGAAACAAAATGGTTTGATTAAAACCATAGCAAGTTTAGTAAAGTGTGGAACGTCCTATAAAATGTATATTAATGTCAACCACAACAATAACCTGCATTTATGTAGCACCCTTTGCTCGGGGTAGCGTCTCGGAGCTCTTAGCCTAACCACCTCACTCACACACCCACACACACACAGAGCCACGTTTGATATCACACGTTGTCAAAACGTCTCAAAGTGTTTCCCAGGATTTACTGTAAAGTGCAGTGACTGTGTATTGTGGAAGTGAACGCAAAAGCCAAATACGCACACAGCAACATCCCTCAAACAGCCGTGAAATGAATTACTAGAATTGTTGACCAGGACACCGGGAGAGAAACTTATTTCTTTTTTTCAAATAGCGCCAGGGGATCTTTATTATTATTATTATTATTATTATCTTTAACGTCCACCTGAACATTCAAACGGGCCCTGAATTTAATGTCTTACTTGAGGAACAACACCTCTGACAATGCAGTGCTCCCTCAGAATTGAATTGGAGGGTCAGCCTAGACGGTGAGCTCAATGTCCTCGTCATAGGAGCTCGAACCCACAATCTTCTCTGACTCAGAGATGAGAGTGGCTCCGACTGAGCCAGGCTGACACCTTGCAGGTGAGCTGATGCACAGCTTAATGTTCGCCTCTGCGAGAAAAAGACATTTCAGTCCCCCGCATGCAAACGTTCACTGTCAATTCCGATCGCACAGCCTCGCTAGCCTTTGGACAAGCTTCCCTCACAAATTCAGGCTGAGACAAACGTGAAACTTTTCCGAATGAGTCGCTTTATTTAATCAACCTGTCACCGGGCGTGGAGATTTTCACACGCGACTGAAAGTGACAGCTCAAACCAACAGAAAGGAGATTTTGTGTTTTCCATTAAAAAAAACCTTTACAAACCCCGTTTAAACACACATTCTGAAATGTACTATCAGGTCGCTGAGGAGTGGACATTTTCAAAATTAACGATCAACTGTTAAAAATAACATGGGACTCCATCCATCTTGCATTAATGATCATATTTGAAACAGCGCCTTTCACGTCGGGAGGATGTCCCAAAGCGCTTCAAAGGACTCACCATAAAGTGAGGTGACTGTGTGTTTTGTGGGGCAGCGTCAGAAACGGAAGACAACAGCGACAACAACTTGCTTTTATATAGCCTCCCTCAGGCTGGGTAGTGTCCCAGAGCGCATGAAATGAAAATATCACAATGGGGAGGAAGGGAAGCAACTTACTTTGTCTCTGACCTGGAAGTGCTCAGTAATGATGAAAATGGCCTGAAATGATCTATCTCTCAGCCTTAAACCCCACTCCCATTTCCCCACCGTTTTTCCCCGGTATAAACTCCCCACTTCTACAAGAAGCAAGCAAGAGTAACGCACCATTTGATATTCACTTGGGATGGGAAATAGCTCTCGTTGCCAGTTCCAAAGAAAGTATAAAACCTCAGGCATTATTAACAAGAAAAAAAGTTAATAGCTTAGTAATATCATTGGGGTAAAAACCAGTGAGGCTAATTAAAAAAAGACATTAAATGGGGAGAGAGCTTTTGTTATAGCTGAGTCTCATTAGCAAACTTTTCATTATAACTGAACTGTAGCGTTGTACCTGATTTATTGGTGAATAACAGGGAAGCCGGGAACAACTTTGCAGAATTCCAGCAGTGACTGAGCCCCCAAACTGAGCTGATTCCATTAATCGTCACCACCTGCCAAGTCAGCTTTCAACCACCCAGCTAATGGGTCATTAATTCCAGCAGGTTTAACCCTTAGGCTGCTGACAGCTCTGTGCCACTCAGATCTCAGTAGATCAACTGATGCTGTGATCTTGACTGAAGTATGACGAAGACATCTGTATAGCTGCTGAACATCAGACCAGCCTTGTTTGGAGACATTATTAATCCTGGGCTGTTGTAATGCTTTGGGTTTGCTGTTGCTGCTCCTCCCTATCTCTGCGATCTATCAAAATCTTACCAACCTCCCCGCTCCCTCCATTTCGGTGGGCACTGGCTTGCCACACGTCCCCCACCCTCTCCAGTCCACTATCAGCCCTCTATAACTCCATCCCAGAATCCCAACCGTGCCACCTTCATGACCCGTCTCCAGACCTTCCTCTTTGACTGTGACTTTGGTTATTCTCCCGCCACCAACCCTCCCTGCCCTCCACCCCTCGTCATTCAAACCCTCAGCTCGGGTGCAAATCCTTGACCGCGTGGTGCCTTGAGACGTTCTCCTGATGTGAAGGGCACCGTGTAAAGTAACTTTGCTGATCTTGTTGTTCAAGAATTCTGAAATTCCTTTCGAACCAGTCTTAATCGGGAGCTGGTTTTCCAATTTTTTTGGAAGCCGGTGAAGCCACAAGCTTCTGACTCAGAGGCGAGAGCACTAGCCCTGAGCCGGGCTGACACACAATAATGGTTGCTGTATGTTCTCTGCCATTATTATTCCTCCTCATTGCGCCTGTCTTTCAATTCAGACTCTCTTTGAAGCCTGGACATTTTATTCAGCCGCCAAGCATTTCCAAACCATCTTTCTCATTTGATCTTGCAATTTTCCATTTCATGCCTTTTCTCCAATTTCAGCGGTGTACTCTTGCACACAACATCCGTGGACCGTCATATCACTGGGGACTGGCTATCAAACTGCTCCTTTTCCTGCTGTAAACAGTTACAGTCCATTTCCTTTCGTTCCAGAAATAGTACCGGGGTGTGTAAAGCACACATTTTGATTAAAAATCCAATCCCCATTGGCAGAGTCTTTGGTTACCTTCTTACCCACGAAATATACCCAGTCACACCACTGTTCATTGTAATCTGTGAAGCAATTGGAGATGTCTCAGCGAGGTGACAAGGCGCGATATCAAATGCGGGGATTACAATTAATATTTCTTTGGCAAATCGCGGCGGGTGTCAAAAGTGAGACTTGCGAATGCTGGAAACTCGCACCGAGTCGGTAATAATAGAAACAGCAGCAACAACTTACATTTGTATAGCGCCTTTCCCATCGGGGGTGGGGGGGAACATCCCAAGGATGGTCAGGGATCTAGAGCCAAGCTGGGGTTTGGGATCAGGAAGGGCAGGGATAACACTGAGTTCAGTGTCTTTGGCTATGATAGAGTAACGTTGTCCTGGGCACTAACCATGTGGTTCAAGCTGTAAAATCTGTGACAATTGGTGTCCAATTATGGGTGTATTTTAAGCTGTGACATGAACTCGGTGTGATCACATGCCTGTCAGCACTCACCCGAGTTATTTTCTTTAATAAGTTCTGTTTCTTGTTTTCCTTCCTCCCACTTCCCCGCCCCACATCCTGAAATAAATTGTTGCTGTCAAAGTATTAATAATAATTGCATTTGAAAAGTCTCAAAGCGCATTCACGGGATTTTACTGTAAGGTGTAAAGACCGTGTATGTGTAGTGGAATGCAGCAGGAGATTTGCGCCCAGCAATTAAATGAAAATCAAATGAAACTCTTTAATTGAAAGCATATTTAACAGTTCCTCCAACAATGACAGGTCTCCATTAAAATCCACGTTCATATCAAATCTATTCTCCACAGAAAGCCGTTGCATTAATTTTTCAAAACTATATTTGAGCTGAGCTTATTTCATGCTGTGTTGAGTGCGTGCGTTGAAGCCCCACATTGGGATTTGAGCTCACACGCTCTCCGGTAGAGTCAAGTAAGTTGCTGCATTAGTCCTATGGATGAGAGTAGTTAAGTCAAAGTTCCATCAGTTTGTTCAGGTGGACGTTAAAGATCCCACGGCGCATTTCAAAAAGGAAAAGAGAATTTCTCTCGATGTCCAGGGGCTGAACCCTCTGGATTAATAAATCGTCCTCCTTATCGCTGTGCACAAAACTGGGTACCACGTTTGCCACGGAAACACGTGGCTACACTTGACAGTAATTGCCAGCGAGGCGCTATTCAATATTTCGTGAAATATTCCGTGTTAAACGCAAGGGTTATTACTCATTCATCCACAAGAGGGTGGATGACACACGTCTGTCTAACCTCACATGGGTCTGCGTGCATTCCACCTCACGCCAAACACCCTGGTGCGGGTTTAAAACATGCTTTGTGATCATAAATTGGGCAATTTAGTTGGACAATTACTTCCCTATAATTTATAATGCTGCTTTTCAGTCATTTCAAGAATGCCGGCCTGAACACAAGTGAGTTTGTTAACAGAGGCAGCCTCTGGCATCCCTTTTCTGCAATAAACTAAAAAGCATTTTGAATATTGAAATGTATTCACAGAGCATGCTATAAATTGAATGGTCCATGGAAGGGGACGTACAGTCTGTCTTTTGAGCTCTAGTGTTGCGTTCCGAGACTCTGGATCCAGAACCAACGAAGCTGATAGGGCGAAATCACTCCATTATTTCGCTTTTCAGAGGGGATTTCTCTGTGAAATTACACTCGACTAGTTTCAATCAATTCCCATTAGGAGGTGCAAATCCACAGAACAGAACTGCCTGTACACTTGTAAGCGGTAATGAAGAAACAATCGAGCTGGTTATTTGTGGGTGAGCTGATATATTTTAATTTGGGGTAAATTTCAACATCAAAAACAGTAGCAAAAATATTTTGGGGGCAGCAACAAGCAAAAAAGCCTCCCCTCTCGCATATTCATATTTTATTTGTGTGCAGAGATATTTTCTTTCCAGCGAAATGATTCCGAGATTTGAATGAAAAGCACGCTGGAAGCAAGAAAACCTTCCTCACCACACATAGCTCAATGAGCTATTGGCATTATGCTTTTCATATGGTTTTGAGCCTAGTGGCTGAGTCGCAGATACAACAACAACAACTTGCATTTATATAACACCCCTCCCACAGGGTCGCGTCACAGAGCGCTTGCTACAGGCTCGCTCTCAGGTGACGGCTGACCAGAAAAAGCCGTGATACCATCGCAATGTCGAATAAGTTTTAAAGAAAGGAACAAAGCTATTTTTTCCAGAGAAGACGGTAATTATCAGATCTTTCTTGGTCACCTTTTTGGTCTCTTTCTTCTGCTGTTGTTGAGATAGAAGATGCCACTTGGAAAACAATAGGCAACACGGAATTGTCCTTTGCTCTGCGGGAAGGTGTAGTGTTCTCTGTCTGGGCCTTTGCGGAGTTTGTTTGCGTCTCAGTAGCCGGCCGGGTAACCACCTTTGCGGGAATCCGACTTGGCAACCCACTTGCCGTCTTTCTTCATGACAACCTGGACCGTGGAGCTATAGGTGTAATTGGTTAGCTCATGATTTCTCTGGAGTAACCCATCCCGGATAACCTTGTGCGGGAAAAAAAAAGACAAAAAAGAGACAGAGGATTAGAAAGCGTGAAAGAGAATATTTCTTTTACATGTGGATTTCAACTCAAACGTGAAATTCAACCAGGTGCACTTTCACACCGGCGGTTTCAAGAGGGAAGTAGCCTGGTATTATAACAATAATCATCCTTGCATTTGATATGGCGCCTTCTCACATCGATGAGACGTCTCAAAGAGCTTCACAGAATATATTGCAAAGTAAATTGACTGTATATTTTGTGGGTGAAACGTGGCAGCCAATTGTCCATAGCAGTGACCCACAAACAACCGTGGACTGAGTGACTAAATTATTATTATTATTTTTGGTGGGGTGGGGGGAGGGATCGAAGGGATTATTACACCCAGAAAGCGATTTGCCAATCGACTGACACCTGGGTTCCGACTTACTGCTAGGTAAGCAGAGATGTATGGAGTAAGGAAACCTGCCTAAGATTTTGTCCTGCCTGAGAATCGAACCCGGGTCCTCTCGCTTGCGAGGCGAGTGCTCTAACTAATGCAGGACTCCGCAATACGTGTATGTGAAGGAAGAGGTGTGGGGATAAGGCAGAGCTGTGAGATTGAACGGACAGCTTGCTTTGCGAACCACTGTAGACTTGATGGGCTGAATGACCTCCTTCTGTAAATCAAATATCAGACATTTAACAAAAGCTCAGCAACTCAATTATCAAAGCAAATACAAATTGTTACTATTCTAACTAATATCCACTTAACTTTGGATGTGAAACAAACCTGATCGATTTTCGCCTCCAGTTCTGCCTTGTTCGACACTAAGTGGTGATGAACTCTTGGCTTCTCCACGGCCTCCATAAGATTATCACCAAACCAAAATGCGTTCATTATCACCTAATGAAGAGTAAAACCATTGTTCGTTTAATTAGCACAGTCTTCCAATTTTTGTCTTAATTTTAACGTCTCCCTGTGCAGATGAACGTAAAAGATCCCACGGCACTATTCGAAAAGAGAAGGTTCTTTTTTTCCCTCCCAAGTTCCCGCTAGCAATTGCTCCCCGAGCCCACCCCCCAACATACAAAATTCATCGTTAACACTTCATAGCTGTTTCCGGGAACATCGTTGTGCACAAATTGGCTGCTGTGTTCACTTACGGACCACACAGTCATGACCTGATTATAGTATATCCTGAAGCCTTCTCGATGTGAAAGGTGCTGTATCGAATGCAAGGATTATTATTCATAGAATCTCATAGAATCTCACAGCGCAGAAGGAGGCCATTCGGCCCATCCTGCCTGCGCCAGCTCTTTGAAAGACCCCACTCTCCCGTTCTTACCCCATCGCCCTGCAATTTTTTGCTTTTTAAGTACTTATCTAATTCTCCTTTGAATCAAATTAATTATTGAATCGGTTTCCACCACCCTTTAAGGCAGTGCATTCCAGACTCCAACAATTCTCTGTGTAATTATTGTTGGACGTCAGTATTATTTAACTCCAGCAACTCAAGAAGGAGCAATCTCTTCTCTCTCCCCTAGACCAGCTCAGTTCGTTGTTCCTCAGCCTTTTTGCCTGTGCTTTACGAGCAATCAATAATTACCAAAGCAGTTGCTGTGATGATCTTCCTGCCTCCAGATGCCCCGATCACCATTTTCACCTCTTTATTTTCGTCAATTATAATGGAAGGACACATCGACGACAACGGTCTCTTTCCTTGTTGAAGAGAAGAGAAGAGAAGAGAAGAGAAGAGAAGAGAAGAGTTACTGGCAAGTTGCTCACGATCCACGCGATTCATTTCAATCTGCAAACGGGTGGACAACACAATACAGCGACGCAAAACAAATTGACATTTACACAGCGCCTTTCACATCGGGAGGACGTCCCAAGGCGCTTGACAGCTCTGGCTTGGCGCACGAGTTGGGGATGGGGAGCTGGGTGGTGGGGTGGGGAGGGGAAAGATGACCAGAGACACGGTCAAAGAGGAAGATTTTGAGAGGAGGGGAGGAGGGAGGGAGCAAAATGATGATTCGCGTGAACTGCTGGGCTGCCAAGTGTAGAGGTGGCATCCATTGATTTTAAGCGAATGCGATTTGTCGCCAAAGCTTCGCGCCATCCTTAATTGTGTTTCTCTCTGAATCGATCTTTCCGAGAAAAGTAGTAAAATGCACCAAACCTGGTTGAACGATATTTTGTGTCTTTCCACTGCCATCCAGCACAGAGAAATCAGCCATCTGATTGTTGAATATTATTCCGCTTACTCGAGACCGGATGTTTGATCCAAAACTGCAAACACAGAATCGGAAATCAGAAATCACATTGTATGATTTGCCACCGACTCATTTCGCCCGGTGTTTAGAGGGAGACACCAACAAACTGGGCTCTTGAGTCTTCAAAAGAGATGACACCGAAGGGATCTTAAAGAGGTGGAAAGATTTGAAATGGGATTGAGGAAGTCAATCAAGAACAATATTCTCGGATGCCATTTTAAATGTTCCGACTGTGTACTTTGCTTGGGAATGAAGGCAGCCATTGAAACACTGCTCAGCCAGTTTATCAGGTCACGGGAGATCTTTTAGACCTCATTTGCTGTCTTTTGTCGGTATAGGTTAACAACAACAACTTGTATTTATAAAGCGTCCTTCACGCAAGGTGGCATCACAGAGGGCTTACCACCATTGCCTCTCAATATAATAATAATCCTTGCATTCAATATAGCACCTCATCACGTCGTTGAGACGTCTCAAAGCGCTTCGCAGAATATATTGCAGAGTGGATTGATGTGTATTTTGTGGGTGAAACGCGGGAGCCAATTGTGCACAGCAGCGTCCCACAAACAATCGTGGATTGAGCGACCAAATTAATACTATTTTTGGGTGGGGGGGAACGGAGGGAACATTACCCCCAAAATATCTATCTAGCACCCATTTGAAACCTCCTACTCAATTCGGCCTCGAAAACCTCCAGGGGCGGAGCGCCCCAGCACGCTAACAACTGTCCAGTGAAGAAATGCTCTTACTATTTGTTGATGCTACTACTGACAGATACGGCACTGCCATCCTCTGCCACCACGGAGAGGTGGGTGGTCCCGTGGGTGTTGGGCACGGTGACAGGCAATCCGTAATAATCCTCATCGTGGGTGGTGTCATCGGTGATTCTGTCCTTGATGGCCCCAGCGAACAAATCGGAGTTCAGCTGTTCGACAACCTGGTAACGACAAATCCAAAAGGTTTCCGATTAAAACAGATGGAAAGACGTAGAGGTCTTCACCACAGGTTACAATATCACATCCGAGGCTGGAAACTTCATCTGGATTTTGGTCCGCCTGACACGTGTTAAACCCATCTCCCTGCTTAAGGGTACGCAAATGTTAGGGTTTCCGCTTACACGTGGAGATTTCTCTGTGTCTGGAATGGAAGGCACACACTCTCCTTGGGAATAGTTCCCGAGATTATTAGGCGCATTACTGGTGAGAGCAGAGGCTATGGGAGGAGCAACAGAGTTTGAGTTGGCGAGTTAACTGCTGGAGCTAAAAAGCTAAAAAGCCATCAGAAATTGCCTTGGCAAAAATGTCTGTGGATTGAATTGAAGAGTTTGTACTCTCGTGAAGACCATAAAGCAGAATGATCGTACAGGCTAAAGGCCAGATGAAATGTTGGGGCTTACGCACTTTGAAAAGCCCACAATTATCACCTTCATAAAGAGGGTAAGAGAATAAATGGGGCACGTGTTACACAGCTCGAACCAATAAAATGAATAACAAAATGTTGGCTCAGTGAAGGGGATAATGATGATTCGAGGGAAATCTGAGTGCACCAGCAAAGGTATTTCGGAAGTGATATAAATAGACATGAAAAGGAAAGAGGGGCATTCTGAACCGACCTTCCAAGCATCATCTTTTCATTTCGCAGCATGTTAAAGACTAAATTATTAAAACACTGTAACACATTGCTGCTCAAGAGGGAGAAGGGAAACCGAATGCTGTTGCTGTTCTTTTGGCATGAACCGTCAGCGTGAAAAAATGTTGGAACAAGTGTTCAAGAAATTGGAACAGGCAGTAAATTTTCCATCAACAATGCCAAACCAAGCTAGTTAATACCTCTTGACAAATGGCCAAGAGATGATAGTAATAATCCTCTATTTGGTATAGCGCTTCTAACATCTTGAACTGCTGCACACATTTCTTAACAGGCATTTTGTAGGCGAAACGCGGCCACCAATTTGCGCGCAGTCATGTCCCACAAGTGGATGACTGCATCATCTCATCTGGTAGACTGTTGGCCAAAGACATGGGGAGAAATTCTCTTCTCTTTTCCAAAATCCCCGCGGGATCTTTATCGTTCTCCTGAACAAGGCTAACGGGGTTTGGGTTGAACATCTCAATGGAAGGATGGATCATCTGACAAAATAGCGCTCCTCCTCTCTCAGCACTAGAGAACATCAGCCTGGATTACGTGAGCTCAAAGTCCCCGAGATAGGGTTTGAACCCAGACCCTTCTGACTCAGAGAGGAGGGTTCTGCATACTGAGCCAAGCTGACACATGATTTTAATTGCCTATTGCAATTCCCCCAGTGCTGCGTTTTCAGGAAAATTAATATTGCATCTGCCTATCCTTACGGTGTTTATCCACTCTAATAAAATATTTAGTATGAGGACCGAGGGAGGTGGTCTGTATTCAGGCTGTGAATAGAACAGTATTCGGTGTGAGAAAGCAAGCAGATCTCAGAAGCCAACAGCAATGCCATTCATGTCAGGAGGGTGTCCCAAGGCGCTGGACAGTCAAGGATTTGCAACTGAGGGGGAGAAAGCAGGGAGGATGGGAATAGGAGAGTGACTGAAGGTGCGGTCCAAGAGGAGAGCTTGAAGGTGGCACTTGAGGGGCAAGGCGAAGGGACTGTGGGATGGAGTTCCAAAGGGTGGGCAGAAAGGCTGAAGGCCTGACTGATGATGGTGGGACATGGAGCAGGCCAGAGCCCACCGAGAGAAGGAAGCAAAGAGTTGGTATGGAGTCAGCAAAGTCACAGAGTTAGGGATATGCAAGGCCAGCGAGGGTTTTGCAAGTGAGGTCGAGGAGTTTTAATTCTATCCTCTGAGGGATGGGGAGCCAGTGGGAGCTGGGCGAGGATGGGGGGGGGGGGGTGATAGGTTTACGGAGCTTGGTGCGGGAGAGAACGCGAGCTGCAGAGAACTGAATAATCCGCAGCTTGCAGAAGAAAGAGTTGAGAAGACCAACAAGCAGGGAGTTAGCATAATTGAGCTGTTTGCTTATTGAGTCAAATGCCATTATTGTATTCTCAATGACATAGTTACGTCGTCCATGTTGGTGAAATTGGGATCGCCTATCTTGCTCCACTCCATGAAAGCAAACTTGAAAGCTTCAATAATCCTATGGTAAGTCAAGCTCCTCTTCTCTGGGGTTGAAATACTCTCTCTGGAAAAGTTATAGGCTGAAATAGAGGATATGCATTACACGTTATCTTGTGAAATGGAACAGTCAACGTGGATCTAGATGAAAACATTAATAATAATAAAATAAAAAAATGAATAATAAAACATTTAACGTCTTTCATGTCAAGAGGACATCTTGAAGCTCTTCACTGAATTGCAATAAAGGGTAGCGACTGTTTATTTCGGTGGGGGAACCCGACAGCCAATTTGCACAGAGCAACATCCTGAGTGACAGGACCCTGTGAAGCGAGTGACTGATTTTATCGGGGGGTTTGTTGTCCAGGACACTGGAAGAAAGAGAGGAACTCCCTTCTCTTTTCTGATAGCGCCACGGGATCTCAGATTAAAGTTTTATCTGAAGGACGGCAGCTACAACCACGCAGCGCTTTCCCCCCCAAAAAAAGCTTTGGGGGGGAACTCCTCATCTGTGAGTTCTAAGTCCTGATGTGGGGCTTGAACCCACAGCCTTCTGACTCCGACATTCATTTTAAAGGTCTATACGATATTAAAACAAATTATCTCACGGTGACAAGTGGTAGAAGTTACCTTTTAGAATTCGGAGTATGAATCCGAGGACAGGCCCACTGGAAGGAATGTTGGAAGAATACATTGTGTATTTGCCAAAGGATTCCTTTATTGGTTGGTCTAATTTAGCCTTATAGTTTGCAAGATCCTTCAGCGTGATATTTCCACCTGAACCACAAAGAGACATAAATGCAGCCTCAAAATAATAAGCACTCCCATCACGAAGGCACCTGTTACTTAATGTTACCATACATTTAATGAAAGAATAAATTAGCAATAACAGTAATAATCCTTACAATTTGATACAGGGCCTTTCACGTCCGAAGGACATCTCAAAGCGCTTTGCAGGAATTATCATAAGATGTAGCGACTGTGTGTTTTGTAAGGTGAGCATTCTACAGTGTTCGCAAAGTCCTCTGACTTCCCCCTCCCCCGTTTTTCTTTCTTACAATGAATTTTCATTTTCCGTTGCAGATAAGTCGAGTGTAACAATGTCTGATATACCATTAACTCCCTTGTCTGTCACTCCACCCGTGTTACGAAAGATGTGTCACCCCCAAACGTGGCGACGGAGAATTATCTGGCATGAAAATGATGGCTCTCTCACACACACCACACACACACACACACCAAAGGACGTCTAAATACAGTTAAACAACGACTTGTATTTATGTAGCACCCTTCACGCAGGGTAGAGTCCTAGAATACTTCTAAACACTTGTACTAAATACAATTAAGTACTCCTAAACACCATTATCATCATTCTTCCACACGTTTCAGTTGTTTATCAGTGTGCTGTGTAAAAAAACACACATGAGGGCAGCAGGACTTGATGTAAACCCCTTGTAGAATCACCCCTGGATAATGCAGATGTTGCCAAATGCACGTACCTGCTTTTGACACATCGTCGACGATCTGTTGTGCGATGCTCCCGGTGTAAAAGGCCTCGGGGCCCTGCTCTGCTATAATTCGCAAGGTTTCGGCCAATTTCGGAAACTTTATTATGTCACTTGCCTTCAGGATTTGGCCGCTGGGATCGCAGTACGCTTCGCTGTGAGAAAGGAATCGGCGTCAAATCAACATTTAAAAGAGAGAGTCTGCTTCCCTTATGACCACAGGCCTGGGCGAAAGAAGACCAAGGTACATCCAGTTCGCCTTCCACCATCCTGGCAGTCGCACGACAGGTCGTGTCCCAAACTATATCCCCAGATATTATTTCCTAACACAAAACAATCCCATTTGTTCTTCAAGGAATCCATACTTTCTACTTCCACTGTCTTGCTCGGGAGCCTGTTCCACATGCTTACTAGTTGTTCACACAAGTAGGGTTTCTCCAGATTTGTTCTGAATTTACCCCAACGTTCAATCGCAGGCCTGTGAACCCAAGTTCAAGACAGAACCGTCTAAGTTTGCAGCAGAAGGAGGCAGAAAATTGTGGATGAAAAAGAAAATCTTAAAACCCGAAGACTTTGTTTTAAGAATTGCAGAAAAACGTCTTCCAAGTTTAGACTGGATTTAAGCTTTGCCCTCAATTCTGTGTGATCTTCAATATAAAGGGGAAAAAAAATGATCTCCCAGGCTAAGACGAGGTGGAATTTCAGGCTTCTAAGATCACAGAAGCACCGTGAAGTCAATTTCTTTTCAATAAAGTTCCAGCAGCTATTTTTATTACAAATTATCTTTTTTTCCCCGATCAGAACTATTCTGGTTTCCATTAACATTTTAGTGCTCTATTACTAGTTGCTCTTCAACCCACGCAATTTGGATTTGGTAGAAAATTTAAATTAACTTAATTTTAATTCAGTTTCGTGCCATCTCAGGGCTTGTTTCTTCCCTCACCTCCTGAGGGAGATCGGCATTTGCTTTCTCTCCTGTTATTGGCAGCGCAGTTTATAATAATAATAATAACAATCCTCGCATTTGATATAGCACTTTTCACGTCGGGAGGACGTCCCAAAACGCTTCATAGAACACACTGTAAAGTGAATTGACTGTATATTTGTGGGCGAACGCGGCAGCCAATTGCGCACAGCAATGTCCCACAAACAGTCGTGGATTGAAAATGACCAATTTATTATTGTTTTGGTTTTGGAGGGATTATTATTAGGCTCTGTGTGGAGTAAGTAAACTTGCCCAAGGTTTCGCCCTCTGCCTGGAATTGAACTCAGGTCTCTCACTTGCAAAGCGAGTGCTCTAACCACTGAGCTACAGGACTCCTTAAGCTTCTCAGGCATCCTTAAGCTTCTCAAGCAAGTGCGGCCTAGACCGTGTGCGCCAATAGGCTACACAGCATTTGGGAAACATCGCTGTCAAGCCCGAACCTTAACTCAGTCATTGTCCGCACGTAGACACTCCTCCAGGAAGGGTGATCTTGTGAAGAACACTGGGTGATGGCACTCTTCCCTAAAGTGGGACACTGCACTCAGGCAACTTGTAGCACCTCCACCTTAGCCTTGAGGCAAAGTAAATGGACGTCCTCCCGACGTGAACGTCGCGATACAAATGTAATTTTGTATTGTATTGAAAATATTTGCCCAGTACGTTCTCTCAATTTTTTTTGAAAACCCCACATCAGTTCCGAGGCCAGAGTACAATAATGCAATGTTTCGCCCACAAAATACACAGTCAATTCACTTAACATTATATTCTGTGAAGCGCTTTGAGATGTCTTGAAGACGTCAGAAGGTGCTATATCAAATGCAAGGATTATTATTATTATTATTATGCAAAGCTCCAGAGTCAACTCATTCTTACCAGAAAGTAGCGTCTTTCATCACATATTTCTTGTATTTATTGAGCAAACCTCCAAGGAGTTCTCCAACAGGATGTCCTTCCTTAGCCAGTTGGATGGATGGTTCAAATAGACGTTTCCATGACAACCTGCCATGCCTTTTGTGGGCTAGTGCGTAGCCGCTGATCTCACCTGGAACCGCGATCGACCGTGGTCCTGGGGAGAGTGCGGGGAACGAAAGGCATTCAGATCATTTCGGCAAGAACACAGGGGGAGTCAAGAGATACGCAGAGCAACGCCCCAAGTGCTTTTCAACAACCACCACAGCAACGACAACAACTTGCATTTATAGAGTGCCCCTCATGCGGGGTGGCATCCCAGAGCACTTTCACAGATGGTGCCAGGGACGGAGCTGAGGAGGTGAAGTGACCAAAGGGGTCACCTTTCACGAGGCTTTTTAAAGACTGATCAAGGGGGGAAGGGGCAGTGTGGAGGGATTTAGGGAGGGAGTTCCAGAGGTTGAGGGCCATCTGGCTCTAAATTAGTGATCTTCCTTGTGCGTTCCTTCCATTTCATCCACTAAACGACGACGACAAATTTATATATCGTCTTTCACGTTGGGAGGATGTCCCCAACTGGGGGTTGGGATCAGGAGGGTTGGAGGGCAGGGAGGGTAGGATAGGAGGGTGACCGAAGGTGTGGGTCAGAAAGGAGGATCTTGAGATGGTTCTTGAAGGAGGCAAGGGAGAAGGCGAGGCCAAGGGACAGCGGGATGGAGTTCGAAAGAGTGCGGCCAGAAAGACTGAAGGCCCGACCACTGATGGTTGGGTGGGGTAGCAGGGCGGGGCACTTGGAGCTAGGCCAGTGCCTGCTGAGCAGAGGGAGTGGACACATTAGTATGGAAAAGCACCATATATTTCAGTCGCAGCTCTTACCACTCGTCAGCAATTTGACATCAAGTTTCTTTGCGTCCACATCCGTAGGCGCTACTTCTTTGGCATTAATAACCTCAACATTTCCTGGAGAGAAACACGCAGAATCATTGGTTATTAAGGGCGTGCAGCCTGATCTGCCTGCGGGATCTCGTTTGTTTTGGCTTGGAGACTCTTGGGCAAGGTGACAGGTTTCCGAGCCTGTTGGACACCCTCCCGAGCGATCAAGAGAGACAAACAAAGAGAACGTTTTGGATGACGTGTGGAGCGGGTTCCCTGGGTTAAGCCGAGTAGAGGCGTGTTCGGCGTGGCTAACAGGCGGCAGGCGAACACGTCAGTAAGTAAGGGCTCATGCAACTAACCTGTTGACGCATTATATATGGTGAAGATAACACCCCCTCCAATCCCTGAACTGTGGGAATGTACAATGCCAGTACAGATCAGAGCTGCGATGGCTGCATCAACTGCTGATCCTTTCTCCATCAATACGTCCCTGGAACAGAACAGAGTGGTTTGCAATCAACCTGAGCTTTAAGACGGGACATGTTGATGGGTGAGCGCTGCACTGTACAAAGTGTCGGACCAGACATTGAACTGATGTGCCTCCACGTCTGTGCCCTGTTCGGGTGGACGTTAAAGATCCCGCGGGGCTATTCGGAAAGAGAAGGGAGTTTCTCCTCGCCTGGTGTCCTTGACGACAATTCCCCGGCAAGGTAATAAAATTGTTCGTTAACTTCAAGGCGGTTAGAGGGGCATCGCTGTGCGCAAATTGGCTACAAAATGCACAAGTCACTACATTTTGCGGTAAATCCGTGAAGCCCTTTAAGACACGAAAGGCGCTGTTTAAAATGTAAGGACCATTATTATGTGTGTAGGAGCCTAAAGATGCGATCAAATCGACCAATAGACATTTCCTCATCCGAAACACTCTATGGAGGGCTGATACAGATACAGTGCATCACTACTAAAGAAATATGATGGAGACAGATTCACCTACTAAAGAAATATGATGGAGTGTGCGCGTGTATGTGTTTTTACAGCAGGTATGATGTACGATCGTAACACGTTAACAACACAGTTGACAGTGAAGAGGGGCTTATTCAAAATAACACGCTCGGTTTTATTAGCGCGTTGGCATGCCTGTATTTATTATGAGAGCGTAATTAAGATGTGTTCCTGGTAACAGCTTCTTCAATTACCAATGGAGCTGGTGGCTGGCCAGACTGGAAATTGCTGGCAGTTTCACTGACATTTATACAGCATGTTTTATACAAGTGTCAGTATTTTACAGTTAGGATTTTTTTTCGCTCTCCCCACTGAGTTCATTTACAGTGCAGCCCCATTATATTGCAATGCTGGTCTATTTATAAGGTTTGTTCCATGATTCGTTCATCTGAACCACTCAGTGTGGATTCAGAGTGGGGACCTTTGCGGAGGTATGTAAGAAGCCTGAATGGGATTGAGAAGGTAAATCCAGAACAATACTTTCGGTTGCACCAAGATGGCGGAATAAGAGGACACGGGTTTAGAGTTGCGAAGGGCAATTTGAGGATAGACATCAGGAAGTATTTCTTTACCCACAGGGTAATTAACAGCTGGCACGGGGTTTACCAAGAAGGGTGGCTGAGGCCAGGACCCTGAGACTCATCTACTGTGATGCGATCCCTCTGGCTTCTTTTAAGGCACATCCTCCTCTTTCACCACGCCTTTGGTCACCCTCCTACCCCTACATTCCCTGCCCTCCATCCCCTCCTGATCCCAACCTCCAGCTCGGCGTGACTGTGTATTTTGTGGGTGAAACGATCAGATGGGATAATGATTAGATGGACTGAAGGGCCTTTTGCTTCTCAACCAATCTCGTGATCCAGTGAGGTTGCAGCTTACCTGCCGATTTCTGAACACTTCTTTGAATCGGTAGCCACGGCAGCCTTTCCGAAGACGACTTCTGCGGAGTTATTCGGCGAACTCAGTAAAACCCAAACAAGGATCCAGATGACAGCCACCACAAGCATAATGACCGTAGCAGCACACACACACTCATCCTTTTTAACCCTAGGTAGGGTGAGAGGATAAGTAACACTTTAGATGTCTCTAAATCAATATCAATAACAAAACCATCGAACCGATCAAAGCACAAAACCAGTGCAAACAAAGTACTCTGAAGGCAGATAATTATGACCGAAATGAACAGCCCAAGTTCCAAATAATTCATGAGATGCCCAGTTTCCTAACTGTACTTGTCACTCCATCAGAAAGACGTCTGCCCAAGAAAAGTTATTCCAATGTATTTACTGCAAATAACAATAACAATCCTTGCAATTGATAGAATGCCTTCACTTCGGAAGGTCATCTCAAAGCACTTCCAGGATTTACTGTAAGGATAGAGACTGTATTTTGTAGATGAATGCGGCAGCCAATTTGTGCAGCAATTGTCTGTCAACACCTCCCCCCCACCCCCCGCCACGGAATGAATGATCCATGATACCCTGGGATGCCAGGACGCTGGGAGAAACTCCCTTCCTTTTTGAATAATGCAGCAAGATCTTTGACATCCATCTGAACAAGACAGGACCTCGGTTTAACATCTCCCCTGAAGGACAGCACCTCACCCCCACCCTGCTTTTCCCCCAACGTTACATTGAAGCATCAGCCGAAGCGATGTGATTTCCAAGTCCAGGACGTGAGGTTTGAATGCACAACCTTGCGACCCGGGGGGGGGGGCGAGAGGGCTAATGACCGATCCAGGCTGACACGCAAGAGTCTAAGTCCGAGGCTAGAGGGAGAATGATCAAAATGGAGAAGAGCGGAGGAGATCGAGCAAAAAGCAATTGAGGATTTGGCAAAATACTGCAATCGTGACGCGAAAAGTCAAGCAGGCTAAAGCCACAAAGCAAAGCAGCATCGATTAGGTTTGACTCGGGGCAGTATCAAAGAGAATTACAGCAGGGATAAACGTCTTGCTTTCATCGGAGTAAGCTTTCATCGCTTGCATTTTATCACCGGCTATACTCATGCAAAGCACCTGGGGAAACAAGCTACGTAGGGTAACCCAAATAGAAAAAGTGCATTGCAACTCCAGCCAGAGAATAACGTTGTGTTTTCAAATCTTAAAACTGGTTCCACTGAAATGGTTTGTGTGTTAGTTGTGAGGGAGGTGGAGCAAAAGTTTATTCACAAAACCCAATGCAGAAAGGGATAAAATATGTGAGTATTTCTTAACTGAGAAAACGACACTCTTTCTTAATTGAGAAATCACACAAAAATTAAACCCTCAAGACGTAGGGAGATAAAATACACAACAGCCAGCAAGTGATCTGATAGTGAGTTCAGAAGGAACTTGTGAAACCTTCGGAATGTGGAACTCATTGCCGGAAATTGTGGTTGAAGCAAGGAGCACGGACGCATTGAAGTGGTGCAATGCAACTGTTCCTGTGTGGTAATGTTCAGAGTAGTGCTGTGTAGCTTGGGAAGTGCTCTGAGAGGCTACACCGTGTGAAGTGTGCTATATAAATGCAAGTTTTCTTTCTTCTGTGAACATCAGGACTCCAGAAAACAGGTTGTACATTGCTTGATTAGAGTGAATAATAACTTTGTGACCTCTTACAATCCCTTCCGACCCAGCCTTCACTTATCTTAAAGATCACTAACCTGCCTCATTCCCCCGCACCTATACCCTATCTGCCCCACCAAATGTTTAAAGATAAAATCTCCGGCCCGTGAAGTTAGCAATTTCCCTGGACAACAAGAACAATTTATATAGCACCCTTCACGTATGGGAATGCCTGGCATCGTTTAGAGCTTTGCACAGTCTACTTTGCAATGCTTGAGAAACCCTGGGCTTATTTTTTTCTCCACTATTTTGTTTGATTTCACCAAAGGCAATTGCGAAGACTGGAAACTTATACCAGGATCCGAAAGATAAAGGCAGTTCAGACAGAGGAAGCCCGCCATCTCCCTATGGACCAGATTCCCGATAGTGTATATACAGTCTGGCCTCTTTAAACACTGTCAACTTCGCTGCTGAGTCAGTCTTGACAGATTTGTTTCCTGAGAATAAAGGAAATGAGTAGCTCCAAGAAAACAGGTTCCAAGAATAAGTAAGAAAAACAGAAGTTGCTGGGAATGTTTTGATGAAGGGTCTTGGTCATGAAATATTGACTCACTTTCCTTTCTCCATAGGTGTTGCCCGACCTGCTGAGTGTTCCCAGCAACTTCTGTTTTTGTTTCAGATTTCCAGCACCTGCAGTATTTTGCGTTTTGTCTAAGAATAAGTACTTTTTATAAGTAAGACTAGATATAGAACAGGTCTTTGCTTACGTTTTACGAAAACTAAAAAAAAATTTGCTTCGCTCTGTTGAGAATCAGCAGTCGTGCTTTCAGGCTGACTACACCTGGAAACTCTGGAACTCCCTGCCTCTGCCTTGCCCCCTCCTTGCTCGTCTTCAGATCACACCTGAAGAACTTCCTCTTCGACCGTGCCTACGGTCACCTCCTCTCTCTTCCCTGCTCGCTGTCAAGCTCCACCACTGCTAAGCACTCTGAGACTCTACCTCGCATGAAAAGAGCTGTATAACATAAGAATTTGATAGACGAAAGAAGACCAAGGTCCATCCATGCACACATCACATCCCAAACTATACAAGAACATAAGAATCTATATAAGAACATAAGAAGAGTTGTTGTTGGGTTCATTTACCCATACTTTACCTGATACAGGTGGTCGAGGAGGCTCTGGGACTCATTTAAGACACAATTTGACGCGGTGATGGGAGGAAGGTCGGGTGAGGATCCTGGCAGGATGAGATCAGTCAGGTCAGAGGGTCTTCTTTAACTGCACATGTCTTGAGATAGTGAGAAGGTGCAGCCAAAGATAAATAACAAAGAGTGAGGTTATTGGAATTTAAGATGGTTGAAAGTCTGAAAAAATCACGGGTGGCGGAGAGATTTAACGTGAACTCACAGACACTCAGTATTGGTAGAACAAAATTCCATTCACTTGTGCTGATCTGCCCTAACCCGTCTTGCATCGTTGCAATATTTTGGTCTCCAACTGCTGCTAACTTCTCCTATTTTGTCATATGACTTACAACCAACAGTTAATTTTACAGGCGGTGACAACAATCTCACAGGAACCACAAAATGAAATCATTCGCAAGTGGTTTCTCATGATATCCGACCAGATCTGACATCTCTATGATTTATTTCAACATCAACACTCTTGAGTTGGGCTCAGCTCGAAATGAAGGTACAGAAACATCAGTTCCCTTTGGTTAGTAACATAACTAACGCTAGCACTCTCTCCTGTATGTGAAAAGGTCAAGCTCCCATTTGGGGACTTTGAGCTCACAGGCTGACCCTCTGGTGTAGTGCTGGGGGATATCTGCATTGGCATGAGACGTCAAGCCGAGATCCCGCCTACTTCCTCAGGTGGACATTAAAGATCTCAAGTCACTATTTGGGGGGAAAAAAAGAGAAGGGAATTTCTCCCAAAGTCTCTTGCTGACAATCCTCCATCATAACTGATCGCTCACCTCAAGTTGTTTGTAGGACCTGGATGGGCACAAATTGGCTGCCGTGGCTGAAGCACTTTAGAGGGAATAAGTATAAATATAAAACACAGTTTTATATCGAAGGATTATTATTAATGTAAGATTCAGCTGCACAGAATGGGACACGATTCACATCCCAGGGGCATTGAGGTGGAAAGTTGGTCTTCGAACAAGTAATTAAAACTAAGTATCATTTCCCCATTTCTAGTTCAAAGAAGTTGATTGTTTTTGCAACGTGGAAACCATCAGACAAGTTATTGGAGGAACTGCTTGCAGGAAGAACAGGAAGATACTTAGGTTTAATTATTTATCTAAACTCCTGCACCTCCAACAATAATAATATTAATAATAATAAAATGATAATAATACTTGCATTTGACATAGCACCTTATCACGTGATGAGCTGTCTCAAAAGCGCTTCACAGAATATATTGTAAAGCGGATTGACTGTGTATTTTGTGAGCGAGACGCAGAAGCCAATTGCACACAGCAGTGTCCCACAAACAGTCGTGGATGGTGTACAACACCTCACTTTACGTCTCCACTGGCTGGAATCTCCTTAGACTGAGCGGTAATAGTTATCACCATAACAACCAGGTTCTTAAGCAACGCAGTAAGAAGTTGCTGACTCAATCGCTCTGGTCATTAACTAGCGCTAATCAGTCCGCAGCTGTCAATGGCCTCATAAACCGATCCATTTAGCAAGACACCATCTGTCCCAATTGGCAGCGAATACGTTAGCTCAGCTTATATTTTACAGCAAAAGTGCGGATTCCTCTATGTAAAGGGTTCCTATTTGCTGGTTGTGAGCAAGACCAAAAGCAGCTACACCCAGTTGATGATTGCCACCTTTTTTTTTAAATGAAAAAAANTAATATATTTTTTTACTTACAAGGTCCAGATTAGTCAATGAACACAATGTGCAGATTGGCTCATCGCCTCTGCCTCGTGGCTGTCTTGAAGTCTAAAATCATACATCGCCGAAAGAACGTAAGAAACGCTAGATGAAAAGAAGTCCATTTAGTTCGCCTTCCACCTTCCTGGCGATCGCATGCACATATGTCCCGAACTACCCACGTACTAAATCCCATAATGTTATTCCCTAAAAAAAAACTATCTAAGCTGCGTTGGAAGGAATCAATACTCGATGATTCCTGCTTCAATACCTTCCACGGGTTCACTATTTGGGTATTTAAACACCAGTATATTAAACACCAGGACTTAAACATCCACCAACTGACCGCAAGCTAGAGTTCTACTAACTGAGCCAAGAAGATAGCAAAAAAAACACAATATCAAACTGCTTTTCAAGTAATAAGGATAAACACACACCCTACTCTACTTTCCTGCTTTATATTGAGTAATTGCTCATTCTAAAGATCAGGGGACATTGTGAAGCTCACGCACACGTTTAACCATAAACTTGCTGTGGACTTACCTTCAATGCTTTTTGTTTAAAAAAAGTTGGGTTATGGGGTGGGGGGGGGAAGAGGGAATGCGGCACACGTCTTGATAATTATCAGTGGTTTGCTTCGCTCAGAATGTGATGGCGCAGAAGCCCCCCCTTCAATATATTTAAAGAGGAAACTTGATGCCAACATGAGGGAGTAGGAAACAAAGCAGTTTTGGGCTCATGTGAAGTATAAAGACTGGAATGGACCACTTGGTGTTGGTATTAGAGTAGCCTTTTTCTGTGCTTCAATGTATGATGTAACTCTCTGTAAGTCAGCCCTGATGCATAGTCACTGGGTCTAATTCCTTCTCCTGCTCACTCGCACTCCTCTTTTTCAAATGCCTGCCTAATTTTCCTTTTAAAAGGATTTATAGCTCGATCCACAACTGTTTCAGCTAATTGACTTTTAAATTATGGAACTGACTCAGCGTTAATAGCTGGGGATGAGAATACGCTCCTCATTTTAATACCTCTTTACTTAAAGTAAATTCTTACACAGGGCTATGCTTTCCGTAGCCTCAAGTTTACATTCCCCTTAGAGCACAAGAATTTGCTGGTGAAAGAAGACCAAGGTCCATCTATTTTACCTTCCACTATCCTAGCAGTCACTTGACATGTCATGTCCCAAGCTATACACTGTATCCCGAGATGTTATTTCCTACATCCCTTGTCGGCCAGTTTAGCCACACGTAAAAATAATTTTTCCACTCTTCACCCTCTCAAGCCTTTTAGGCCCTTCTCTTAGATTCCGTCTTAACCTTTTCTGCTCCAGTAAAACACAGCCCAAGCTTCTTCCTCTCCAAGCCTTTCACAGCTACCTTGGGACGTCCTCCCGACGTGAAAGGCGCTGTACAAATGTAATTTGTTGTTGTTTTTAATACATTGATTTATTCCGTAATGCCTAATTGGATCGCTTACTTGGCATTTAAATCGCTGCACACCGTGAATAACGTTAGTAGCTTTCTTTAGACCGTTAAAAAAAAGAAGGAACTTACATTTTCGGAACCCCCCTTTATGTCGAAACAACACTTCACAGCAAATTGCCAACGAGAATAGTGCCGATATTTTTTATAGGAGGCACAGGTAATGGCCATTTTGCACCCTGCAAGTTCCCACAATCAGCCGTAGATCTCTTGATGCAAGGAATGTTGATGACGTGAATTCTATGAATCAGGGGAGATTCCTGTTTTCACCATATATTAAGAAGGACACCTCGCCAGTAGGTCTTTGTTAAAGTTTTAGTCAATGGCAATTTCCAATTTACGCTTGCGTAGTGCCTTTCACGTCAGGAGGATGTCCAGTGAACCCTTGATTCAAATGCGCAGCGTAAAAATAAAATGTTCAAGCCTCGCACCAGGAAAAACCACGAGCTCGCAGGTCAGGCCAACTTTCTGGTGTCATGCTGGAAGAGTTCTGCTCTCTCCAAAACTCTACTCCTGGTTTTCCAATGTGAGCCAGGGTGTTGAAATATCTATAAGAAATAAACAGCCTTCTTTTTCCTGTCTGAAGTTTGGGAAAATGCCTCGAGGGATAATGCTATCCAGCAAGTGGTGCGTGTCTTTAGCAGGGGAATGTTCAATATGTTATTCGTTGTTGTTCGTTAGACACCAAATATTTGTCTGCAGCCCTCTGCTCTTCACACTCTGCTGACGTCCGAAAGTTGGGATTATCAATGATTATTAATTGTAATTAGTCAGCAGAGCGAGTTTAGAATGTTTGGCCACTTACACAATCCTACACGAGGGTTGAGGAAGACTTCACCTTTGTTCGTAGCTGCAATGCCACACGGCTTCACCTTTTCGGAAGTTAATCTCCTCCCGTGAAGAAATGCGTCTGGTTATAATTATCAATAACTGCATCCAGCCTCCATGGAAGAACTGCACTGAATTTAGTCAGCACAAGCAGAGAGTTCTGATAAATATTTCACACAATTCCTTTTCCAAATGAAATGAAGTACAGTAATTGCTGTAAAGCGCTTTGAGACGTTTTGATGTTATGGGCGCTATCCCTTTTTTTTAAACGGCAAAAGAGCTGTTTTTTATATTCCAGAGCACAAATAACCTGAGATTGCAAGGCACCGGGTGAGGTGAGTTCAACCTCCAATGTTCCTCACGAATCCCACTTGAGACTGGACTGGAAAATGCATCGAAATGGACCAATTTGTCTTCATCTGGTGCGCAAGGCGACACTTCACTGGATGAGGCAAATGGTTCCTCCAGGCAGCAGATCAGAGTGCTCCATTAAAGAGAATAGAATTCGGCCCCGAGTGTGCGCCGGTGCATTTAGTCACGCGCTCAAAATGTCCAGGAAGCCATTAGCAAAAGTTTGTGGTTTGATACAAGTTTGACAGTAAATTTACTGTGCGTTTGCGTTAGGATCGAGATTAAAATCCTCGTCCTCACTTTTAAAGCCCTCCACATGCTGCTGCTCCCTACCTCTATGACCTCTGAACACCATACCAACCTGTCCACTCCCTCTGCTCAGCAGGCACTGGTCTGCTCCATGTCCCCCGCCCTGCCCGGCCCATCATTGCTGGGACAGGCCTTCAGCTTTTCGGCCCCCACCCTCTGGAACTCCATCCCTGATTCCCTCCATCTTGTGTCCTCCCTCGTCTCCTTCAAGCCCCGTCTCAAGACCGTCCTCTTTAATCGTGCCTTCGGCCGCACTCCCATCCCCACTCTATCATCCACCCCTCTTGATTCCAGCCAACCCTCAGCTCAGTTGCCCTTCACTCTCCAGTGCCTTGTGATGTACTTCTGACCTGAAAGGCACTATGTAAATGTGATTTGTTGTTGTTTATTCCACCACAAAGGACAATCCCCTTTTTTCAACGTTTCCGAGTTCAGCTCTGCTTTTCCTCTGTAATGTACCCAGTACGTTAATTAAAGCAATGGGGACTTGTAGCCTGTTTGCATCAGAGAGCTCTGAATTCATCTCAGCTGAGGTCAATAACCATAAAAGGTAGGAAAGGTGACATGATTGTTTTACGGTTTTCGTGTTTCTCAGCTCAATCCAGCCGTTGATTTCAATCAGAGTTCACGGTTTATAAAGCAGACTCCCAGATATCTTTTTAGATATCTCCCACGGTATCCGTCAGCTTAATTATAAGAATACATTAAAGGAAATTGTGTGTGTGGGGAGAATGGATGTATCCTTTGTGAGCAGGAGCAGTTTCGGAGATTAGATTTCCATTAGAGCTGTGAGTGAAATGCAATTAATGACAATGACATGCAAATGAAAAGATGACTGAAAATAGATTTTTAAAATATATATATATTTTTACTGTATATGGGAAATTCACAGAATTATCCTGCATCAATTAGGGGGAAGAACAGGATAACCTTTGAGTCTCTTGGTGTTGGTACCTTCAGGAACTTTCATACTGATATCAACTGTACGACGACAACAATTTACAGAAATACAACGCCCTTCACACAGGGTGGCATCTCAGAGTGTTTAACAAGCGTATCATTGGGACATCACTGCTCAATTAAGCCAGGCGAATTAGATAGCTCTTTATTTAACAAAAAAAGGAATATTTAATAATCTTAAGGAAATCTGCATGAACATGTTAGCTCTTGAAGGCCCACGGCACTTGTGTAACCTTGAAATACGAGACATGTACTCACTATTACAACAGCTACTAACCAGACACTGTCTAACCAAACTGACGTGAGGAAATATCAGAGGAAAATGAGCTTAGGCGAAAGGTAGGAAACGTATTTCACGGCGAGAATCAAAATTAATGAATTGACAGATCACGCGGCCAAAACAGTAAGGCAACTAAATGATAATGCTGTGGTCTGGGTCCATTAGCTCAGAACATCTCTATCCACCCCGACCCCTAACCCCCCACCACCACCACCCTGCCATGTTAAAATGAAGGGAGATAAAATGGTTGACCTTTAGTTGCTGACATTGCTTCTTGCATGCTGCATACATGAGCGTTACGTGAACTCACCCCCACCCCCAACACGCTCCCACACGCTCCCCTCCCCCAGAGTCACATTTCATGCCATTCAGACCATTTGAGAGCAAACTATTGAGCGGACTAATCTCTTTATATCTCGGTCAATAAAGACGCAATTATAAAATGTAATCAAGAGATTGGTCAGGGAAAATCATTGCAATGGAGCTTTGAGGACATTGATTAAAAGAGCACGCCGGAATTAATCGTTTAACTCTTGCTGCACCACGCCCCAGTTATTGCGAACAGCAGGTGGTCAAATGAGAGCCTGATCCGGAGAAGATAATAATAATAATCCATTTGATATAGCGTCTCATCGGGTCTTCGAGACGTCTCAAAGCGCCTCACATTTTGACCCTTGGAGAAATCCCATTCAATCTGGTCATATCTCGTACACGACCTTGTCAGTGTCGCTCAGTCAACACAGACCCTCTGTATCACATCCTCCCAGCCCACCCACCCACCACTCTTTTCCTCAGGTCCCACTTTCCCTCAGCTTGGGCTGGGTGAAGCACTTTGCGAAATCCTCCCTTGAAAGGGTCTCCACACAAATGCAAGTCAGGCAACTATAATCATCAAAACTCAGGCCTCAGCTACCTGAGGATAAAAACGCATTTGGAGCCAAGTTCGTAACCAATGTATTTAACTTGATACATACATGAGGAAGAAGGGAATAGAGAGGTATGATGGAGGAGATGAAGAGGGACGGAGAATCGTGTGGAGTATTAGCACCGGCACGGACTAGTTGGGCTGTTTCCCATACGGTACATTTCATGTAGTTCTCAACCTAGTAATAGCTTTCCTGATGAAACAGCCCTAATAACCTTTGTGCGTAATTAACATGATCAATAATTCAATTCATCGACATCATCTGACTGATGCCTTGACCCTGATTTAGTGGCTCAATGAGGAGAGCCCATTTATCCCAGTTAGCGGCATTTAAACAGTTCTGAACGGTAAGTGGGCAAAAGTCAATTCAATCTGGGAAGAATATGGGGCAGGTCTGGTTCCGACCACCGACAAGGAAAAGCATTGGAAAGCCCACCTCAATGTGTTCCTTGTGCCCCCATTTATATTCTGATCTGCAGCTACGAAGGTAAAGCAAAAATATTACAGTGGGATAAGAATTTTCGAAACGTGCCCCTCTTAAATAAAACCCGTTTCCTTTGCGACAGCCTGGCTCAGCTGGGAGCCTTCTAACCCCTGGGTTACAAGGTTATGGGTTCAAGCACCATATCAGGACACTTCCAAAAAGAGACATTAAACTGAGGTCTGTTCAGCCAGACGTTAAAGACCCCATGATATTACTTGAAAACAGGAGGGGGTTTCTCTCTCTCTCCCGGTGTCCTGGCTGACAATCTTCCTCCCCACCCCCCCCCCACCCCACCCCGATAAAATCGGTTGCCCATTTCGTGACTGTTTGCTTGACACTGCTGCACACAAATTGGCTGCTGCATTCACCCATAAAATACAGTCAGTACACTTTAAGGAATAAACTGAGAAGTGCTTTGAAACATTTCAACATGATAAGCTCCATATCAAAAGCAAGGATGGCATTATTATTATTATTATTGGCTCTTTTTCCACTCATATGTCTAAGATTAGTCTGCCTCTTAATAGCACTGTGTTGCCTTGTCTCAGAGGGAAAGGATATGGAGCTGATCCCTAGTTCTGGCGTCATCCAAAAGGCCAGGCAGGGGTGTGCGAACAGCCATTCAGAAAGAAATGAGCAGGAGGTCAAGCGGGAAAGGAAAAGTGGTCACCAATGGCACAGAAATACTTCACGAACATCACTGATTGACCAAGGCAGTTTAGCTCTGGATTTATAGACTTGCTGTTACTGACTGGTTCAGATTTTATCACACAACTCTCAAATTTCCCGTCCGCAACACACATCACCTTGAATCAGACATGACTTCATCCTCCTTTATCTCCACTGTCTCTTCAGTCCGCTGTAACCCATTAATCCTGGGTTTCCATGGCAGCTCTGCTCTGTCTCCCATACATTAGATTAGAATATTGGCTTTCAGAGTATTGAAGCAATAAA